TAATAATAATGACAATATGGGAATATCAAATAACAATATGGGAATAATATGGATTGATATATAACAATATGGGAATAAAATAGAGAATAAAATAAATGGAATAATAAATAACAATATAGGAATAACAATATTGAATAATAAATAATAATAATATGGGAATAAAATATGGCATAATAAATATGTAATCATATGAAATAAATAACAATATGGGAATAACATTATGGAATAATAAATAACAAAGAGAATAACAAATTAACTGAATGTGTACGTCAATAAAGGGGGGGGCCTTAGGAGGAATTATAATCAGCGACGTTTCGGGCAATGGCCCTTCTTCACACGACATAGAGTTCATAGAGGTCATTATGGGAATAGATGAGTTTGTTCAATTATGGCAGCATTATAAATGTAAGTTATTGTTTTTTTTTATGGATGTTCGTATGCAATACAATTTGAAGTGTGCCCAAAGGCAGCCTGAGGCGAGTTGTTACTGTCTGCTGAAGCTGAGTTTGTTTCCTGTTGAATACTTGACATTGATGTACATCTTCTTGGTTCTTTCGGTAAAGTCACGTCGAAGGGAAACAATAAAATAATAAAAATATAAACACAAGCAATCGTCATCAGGTGTGAAAACCACACCTGATGATGATTGCTTGTGTTGCAATCGAAACGTCGTGAGAATTTTATTGTTTTATATATTTTTTTATTGTTTCCCTTCTACTTGACTTTACCGAAAGAACCAAGAATATGAATCCCTGCAGTCACGAACGCTTTAAATCAAAATTGATGTACATATTATAGAGTACAACAAGTGTGTGACCTATTTGTGTCGTGCGTGTTACTCTCTAATATTCGTGTCTGAGTCCAGTTACCAAGCTCTCCTGCGTATATATGAAACGTTCTATGAATCGTCTGAATCGTAACTGGGCTGTAATCCGATGATGTAAATTAACGATGGATTGCTCAACCGATTATCAGTTGATGGTTCGGCTAATCGGACAACAAGTGTCAACCATAATACAGGTATTTTGGGTTACGCGATCTAAGGGGCCGTCCATAAATGACGTCACGCACCAAGGGGGGGGCAGACATTTGTGACGATGGGGGGGGGGGTGAGAAATGTGACGTCACATAAAAATGCGCAACTTTAAATAAATATAGACAACACGTTCTACTTAATTAAATAGACTTTTTAATAAATGTTTTCTCCTACAACATCAGAGTGCAGCGCCACATTAAATACGCACTACAATGACAATAGTTTAAAGCGATTTGAAGCATGTTTTATTTGGGGGGGGGGCAGAGCTTTGTGACGTCATATTTGAGGGGGGGTCTGACTTTTTGTGACGCTGTGACGAATGGGGGGGGGGGGTAAAAAATCGTCCAAAATCGCGTGAAGTCATTTATAGACGGCCCCTAACCCATAAAAAACCTCTTATCGATATTGGTCGCGAAAGCCTACGTGTTAAACTAACAAGTCTCAAGTCTGTTCCCACGTGCGCCGCTGGACGGGAGGTGATGGGAGGGTGGAGCTTGGTGATGTCAAAGGCATGGACAGCTAAGCCACTCCGAGCGTGTCTTGTATGGGGCGGGTTCCCGCTTTCGCGAGGCAGGATGTGGTAATGGGGTTGCTCCCCGACCCTGACGCCTGCTGCTGTATATTTTGGAGCCTGCATAAACTCTCTCTCCCCGTGATCGCGTGGATTTTTGTCCGGGTCCTCCGTCTTCCCCCCCCCCCCCTTCCACGTTTATAAACACGTGTTGAGATTATTTGGCAGCGATAAATGTCCACACGATTAGCCACTTTGTCGAACTATCATATTGTGGCCAGGTTGCTTCTGAAAACAAGCTACAATGTTTAATTCAGCAGGCCTTACCTGGTAATTTTTTTTGTTTAGTTTAGTTTCAAAGGGGTCGAGCAATCTACCACAGAACACAAAAGCTGATTATTGTTTTATTATATTCTTTGACTGAAAATTGACGAATCGTCCCAGCTCTCGTTTGAAGTATCCCCGAGGTTATAAATGATGTATTGCCTATACCACGCGTACTTCTTCATAATGAAGCCGAATGAAATATTAAAGGGGGGTGCAAATGGAGGTTGTGCCCAAGTACACATACAATACAAAAACCACACAGGTCTATGAAGTATTTATATGTTTTATAAAGACAAAATAATATATATGCCACAAATGTTTACGTGGGATGGAGGAGGTGGGGCAGCGGATTAGCGTACTACGCCATGAACCTGGCGACCCGATTCTAGATTTGAAGTTTTCGTGACTGCAAGGATTCATACTCTTTTTTTTTTCGGTAAAGTCACGGCTAACATCAGTGGCGAGTGATGTGTGAACCGGTCCCATGTTCCGCCTTCGCCAACCCGCACTGACCAAAGTGGCGAAGTATGGTCAAACAACAACACCCATATCTGATATGGCGTGGGGAGGCCTCATCTATGATTGACAAAGGGCTGAAATTATTATTTGTATGCTGATACAGTATATGACAAAGTTTTGAATAAGTTAACCCCGGAGGAGTTAAATATACAACCTAATCTTCTTGGTTCTTTCGGTAAAGTCACGTAGAAGGGAAATAATAAAATAATAAAAATAAAACATAATAAAATAATTCTCACTGTGAGAAAAATAATTCTCACTGTGAGAATTATTTTATTATTTTTATTATTTTATTATTTCCCTTCTACGTGACTTTACCGAAAGAACCAAGAAGATTAATCCCTGCAGTCACGAAAGCTTTACATCGAAATATACAACCTAAGTTATAGTAATGAAATACATTTCTTTTGTAATCCATACTCAACGATTTTTTGGTATTATTATTCAATGTTACAAGCTAAAGGGCGATTGAAAAAGGAAACCCAACTCGATCTTCAAGGACACACTTCAGAACGTCGGGGAAACTCCAACGAACGCAACGCACGGGGAGCGCTCGCAGGGGGCTGACGGGACACCAGCTACGCCTCAACGTCGCCAAACAGAGGGCAGACGCGACTCATCAAACATCCACTGGAGGTGGGGCCGTGTTGGGCCCGGTTATATAAGCAACATGTTTTAATCGGCTGCTTGGGAGTCACCTTCATCCGGCGGTGGTCTGACCATGGCTGATTGATGATGATGATTGTGGTGGTGACGAAAAACAAGTGGGTGTGACCGCTTTTATACAATTAAATAATAATAATTAAAATGTATAAAGCGGCCTTAAACACATCGCCTTGGACGGTGAACTGAACATAGGGCAAGATCAAAACAAAAGACTTGCTATCTGTAACTGCAAAATGTACGATGATTGGGGGGATTATATTTAAAAAGGAAATCGAGCTCAAAATCACCCAGGTCACAGTGCATGGCGCTAACCGTTGCACCACCACTCCACCACAGAACGCGTTCAAAAAACAGCCTTCAGAAACAAACCGGAATGTCCCCTCTTTGAACGAGCAAGCGTACACAGCTCCTGTCGTGGATTTCACGGGGGGGGGGCACCGCGTGTCCGCGAGAAATGTCTTCTCAAGCTTGCGCGACGCGCTACTGCGGGGACAGCTTCAGAAGTTTTGCACGCGAAGGGGCCGTCGGCGGCGGCGCGCGCCGAGGTGACACGCCCGATGACACGGGGCCACAAACCTGAAAAACCACTCTTCGGAACGAACGTCTCATCTTCACCCAAGTCAAACATTCGCAGGAAACGGCCACATGATTTAACAGCGTGTCTAAAGCAGTGGTTCCTTAACCTGCGGGGTGCATCTCGCACCCCGCTGGGGGTGCGGGACATGGGCAGATTTTGTTTTTCGAAGGTAAATCATCGCAAACACAAATTAGGCACGGGCACGTGAAGTACAACTTTGTTTCATCAAACCTACGAATGTATTAAAATTATACATTTTCTAACGATCAAGGGGTGCAAGGCTGTAGTAAAGGTTAAGAACCACTGCTCCAAACGAATCATCTTACGGTAACTTGCTAAATTCGGGCCACAAATTGGTACGCCCGCTGCCAGGCAGCCAGTCACCTATATATACGCACGAGGGGGGCATGCGTGTGGGGCTTGGGGGGGGGGGCCCAGGACGCGTGGTCCGCGCACCCCCACGTATGCCGTCCTGATAAGGGCGTGCTCGCCCAGCCAAATATAGATCGGGTCCCGGGGGTGGTGATGGGGGGCGGGGGATCGGTCAACTTGCACGTGAAGTCTAGAGCAGGCACGGCAACACTGCTGCCCCGGTGGCTAGGGAAGGGTTAAAACTTCAGCGGTGACGAAGCAGTTTGCAATTAAAGCCACGGGGGTGGGAGGGCGAGAGAGAGAGAAAAATTGGAACGTCCACTCCCATCGGTCACCGAGCCACCAGCCGAAAAGTTGCCACCAACTTGGGCCCCTTTGCCGCCCGAGTGTTGAATGTGCGCAGTGTTACGACATAACGCGCGCTTGCGATGTCGCGTGATAGTTTACGGAGCTAGTAATAACGCACGAGGCTTGCCAGATGCTGGGAATAAAAAATGCGTTAGATGATCATTTACAAACGTTCTTTTGCTCCGCAGGTTCAGTCTGTTAATGTGTACGTGGCAAGTTTGTAGGGGGGAAAAACATCGACCACGGGACACTCGTTTAACAAAATAGTGCACTAACATTAAAACACCGTAACATTGGCCATGATCAATCCACTGCTGGATGAAGACTGCCCTAAGCCGTCGCCATCTCTCAATCCAAGTTGAAAAGTCAGCGATTTCTTGATGAAATGAGCATTGCGGCAGTGCTAATTTCCCACTTATGGCCCGGAGCCAGTGGTGGAAATTCCACATTCATCTGGCGGGGGGGGGGGTGAATCTCCTCCATTGGACAACGCCGCGTTGTAATAATCCACCCGGCACCTGCACACGGAGCCGACTTGCAACGCACGCGCGGTGTCGAGAAAAGCTCGCGCACGTCCACCGTCTCAGCTCATCGAGAGCAGCAGAAAGACCCACGGGGTGACGGGCGGTGCGGGCACAACTCACCATGGTGGCTGTCACGCAGGGAGAGAGAGGCGGCAGTAAACTTGGGAGTGGCTGTTGTCACCGGCTGACTGTGTGCGCGTGCGTGCGCGTGCGTGCGTGTATTTCGCCGAGTAGCAGAGGACGCGCGACGGGTCCCGTCAGCACTCAGGCACTAACGTGAGCTCTGCGGACGGCTCGGGTGCCTATATAGCCGGAGGAGGTGGTGGTGTTGGGGGCTGCACCAACTGGGGTCCTGGCACCAGCCAGCGAGACCTCCTCCTCCTCTCTCTCTCACCCTGACCAAAGCTCCTCCCTGCCGAACGCACACGTAATCTGCACCGATGTTCCAACACGCACGCACCCATGCACACGAGGCAAAGATCCCCCGTATAGCGTACACAGGATGCTGGGACAAGTGCTGTTAGCCCGCACCTTATGAGGAGTGGTAGCATAGCGGGGAGTGGCACCGTACTATGAACCCAGTGGTGCGAGTTCGATTGCTGGCAAAGGCAAACATCTGTGGTGATGATCTGAACAGGTCCTGGGACTCCCCCCACCCCCAGAGGTCGACTCGGCCTTGAATAAGTATGTACCTTACGTGGGTGTGTTAACATCAGCACGAGGCTAGCCAAAAAAAATTAACTTTTGTTTACCAGGTAAAGCCCACTGAGATATGTAGCTCTTTTCAGAGGTGATCTGGTCACACATGATAGCTCATCGAAGTGGCTTATCACGTGGGATTCCAAAGCAGCCACATAAGAGGCAAAGGTGGTTGAGAGTGGTTCTGGCCACAACACGCACTCGTGAACCTAGTTGCTCACTGACAGCACTTGTTCCCAACAGTCTACGTAGGCTACACGGGGGATGTTTGTCTTTGTAGGGAACACAAACACACACGCCCACTACACCAGGTACTGTCTCTCGCGACGACACTGTTCCTCTGAAACCCACAACGATTGATCTTTTTGAAGCGGCAGCTGCAGCGCGCGGAATGCAGTCCCACCGGGCGCTTGCCTGGGCCAGGCTGCAGTCGACAAATTGACAAAGTGCCTGCGCCTAAGCACCCAGAGCCACGCGTAGACAAAGATCCGCCTCCCGTGTAGCCTTCAACGGACTGCTGGGGCGAGTGCTGTTGTTGGTGCGAGCACCTGTCCTATTAAGGCAGAAATTGGCACGTGAGGATGCGGTGTAGCCGGTACCACGCCTCACCGCCTTTGTCTCGCCGGTGATGATGTATACACACAGCAACAGGTAGGTATTTAACTTCCCAGTCACCTTTGGAGAGGTTCAGAACAGGTTTGGATATCACTCGTTGCCGATGCTATCCGAGGTTGGGAATCGAACTTGTGTCACCAGTTTCTGAGGACAAAGCGCAAAGCACCGCACTGCTACTAAACAACAGCAGCCGCCGTTCGCGTCTAAGTGATGGTGACGTCACCACAGCGCTTGTGCCTGGCTCAGTGCACTTTTACACCGTACAAAGCATAACCAGCTTCGCCGGGAGGTCACGGGACAGGCCCTCGTGTTATGCGCCGACAGGCCGAGACGAACTGGCGGTTTCACACCACTCCTGTTCCCAACTAGTGTCAATGTTACACAAAATAACCACACCTACACACACACGTGTACACACTTGTAGGCAGGTATGCAACAGAGAAGAAAATATACAAATCAGGTGTACAAATTCGACTGTTTTAATTTGATGCGTTGACCTTAAAACTGATGATTATGTTGGACGTACACATGGGTGTCCCGCGGGTGATGGTATCGCATAATGAGCGTTTGTGCTTCATGACCCACATTTTACAATTACTATACAATTTTCCGGCAGCAGCCAGAACGAGCCGACCCACCAAAGCCTCTGCAATTACTTGCGATCCACCCCTACGCCTGCGAGGGCATGGACTCGTACGTCCTCAGTAACGTAAACAAAAATATCATGAAAAATGATAACATAGCCCTAGTTATTTATCTCAGTGATCTAAAGGTTTGTTGTGCATTGTACACATGCACAGTGAGGTGATGTCATGTGACATGCAAAGCATGCTGGGAGGGGATCGAGTTCGTTGTCACAATCAGGGCCGAATTTAGGGGCACTGCGACACAGGGACATTTGTACAGGGCCCAAAAACTTCTGAGGGGCCCCATAAAAAACTAAACTAAACCACAATTTGTTTCGTTTATTAAGCAAAGCAGGACTGTCCATTGATATCATTCTAATGCACAATATCGACAACACTTTTTTCAAATATAATTTTACAATAATAGTAGAATTTAAAACGTAAAGGTGCGGCTCTGCCAAGTGCTTGCTCGCGGCACTGCTGGTGGAAGCGCCTCGTGTCAAAAATTGCGAAATCCAGCGACGGATAAAATCAGCGGCGAGTGGCGTCCTAACCTGACTCTCCCCGAGGGTGATTCATCGCTAAAATTAATACTCAGAGCCTACCGGGTTTCCTCATCATTTATAGACAGCGTTAGGATTAGTATCACGTCCAAACCTCATGCTTATGCTGCCAAATTCGTTTCGCCCAAAGCACCGAAGAAATCGGCTTGTGAGTCTCCTCCAGTCGGCCTCCCGTCGATGCCCACAGCGGGTTTCACAGATCCAGGTCGTCACGGTTGCCGCGCTCCCGTCCAGACACCCACCGCCCCACCACCACCTCCTGGCCACAGACACCACCGCCATCATCACCGCCACCTTCTCACTTACACGTCTCTCACCGTGCTCCTGACGATTCATCCGGTTACAGCGCGGGCTTCAAAAATGGAAGTACAGTACAGATATAAATGTGCACACAGAGCAAAAGGGCGTTTGCCATCTACATTACCTAGGTTAGGGGTCGGCAACCTTCGGCTCCGGAGCCGCATGCGGCTCTTTACGTGCTGCTTCTTGACGATATGTACGTATGTACAGTATGTACTCAGATGCATTGCGGCTCTTGAAATACTGAATTTTGTACCGAATTGGAAAGAAATGGCTCTTCTTGTTATTTTGGTTGCCGACCCCTGACCTAGGTCAAAAAAACCATGGCCAAAGATTTTCCACATGCTACTCTCATGGTATGGTACTGGGGAGTGGTAATGCAGTGGTTAGCTCATTGTGCAAGATTCGAACTAAACTCGAGTTCGATTCCCGGCCGAGGCTAACATCACTGGCGAGTGATGAATTTGTCTAAGGCACCGTCACCCTTCACCAAACTGCATTGAACCAGCGTGGTGAAGTATAGTCAAACAATCCCAAATGACGGCATAGGAAGGTATTCTGTCAGCAAAGGCAAGTAAATAACAAAAAAAATTTAGAATAATTTTTTGAAGTTTATAACCTCGTTTTCCATTCCCACTATATTATTTTTGATCTCAGAGCTGTGGGTGTATGCGGCACCGTGATGTTCATGCGCACAGTTGGCACATGTGCACAGGTTCGATTCCTGCTCACGACCACCAACACCATTGACAATTATCTGAACCAGTCCTAAGCCTCCCCTAGGTCGATTAAGCCTCAATTGAGTACCTGGTGCGGTGTATAGTAAACATCACCACTAGGGAGACAAAGGCGATCAGGCATGGTGCTGGCCACCCATCACGTCATGTGCCGTACCAGCCTTCATAGGCGCTCACTAGCAGCACTTGCCCCAACAGTCTGTTAAGGCTATACGGGGGGTCTTTGTCTTTGATGTGGCGCATGCGTGTGGCGTTGCGCGTACGCGGTACCTGCACGCGCAAGCGGCGCAGACACTCGGGAGAAGAGAGCTCCTCCTCCGTCAGGCCCGCGGGACGCACCACGAAACACAGCAGCAGCTCCTGCACACACACACAGAATCACATCATCATCATCATCGTCACCATCATCGGCCATAAGCAGCCATGATCTATCCACTATTGGATGAAGACCTCCCCAAGCCGTCGCCATCTACCAGTGATGATAACAAATGTTATTATTGGCGTTTGCCCTATTGTTATTGTGTAAGTCAATCAGGGAGGTGCTAAGTTTCACAGACAGGTATAAGTCTGCCAGTAGGGCGCGATGTTCTGATGCGATTTCACCCAATTAAGTAATTTGCGAGTAATTTTTTTATTTGGACCGTGACGCCGAGCACACAACGGACGATTATTTTTCAAATGTCATTGACTCTTTTAACGTCCGCTGTTAAGCAGACGGCGCACATGTGTGGTTAGTGCACATCACAGTATTAACCTGGGCGGCTGCTGGATTCAAACCGCGAACCTCTACAACAAGCGACGAAGTAAAAAAAAAATACTTCGCTGAAAAATATTTTCACCCGCCAAGTTCATAAATTCAATTAACACCCGGCCGCCACCTTGGACACGTTCATGGTCGTCCGGTTGAGGCCCGCGAGCGAGCGCCAGCTGAAGGTTCGGAGGGCGTCACCGCGGAAATTGGCACCGTCCACCATCTCCACCACCACCGAGTAGCTGTGACCACGGCCACGGCACATCAGGGAAGGGGGGGGGATGGATGTGAGCGGGCATGGGCGCGAGCAGGCACGCGAACACGTATGCACACATGAAGACTCATGCATACACACGTATAAATACACGATGACAAAAATCCCCCGTATAGCCTTTAACCGACTGTAGGGGCAAGTGCTGTTCTCGAGCACATATTACGCTTGGCAAGGCACACGAGGGGGTGGGTGGCCAACACTATGTGCAGTCACTTTTGTCTCCCCAATACTGATGTTTACACATCGCACCAGGTACTCATTTAAGGCCGAGATGACCCGAGAGAGGCACAGGACCGGTTCAATACATTCGCTACTGTTATTGGTTATGAGCGGGAATGGAACTCGGGTCTCTCGATTTGTGCGTTAATCACTGCGACACCGCTCCCCACAATGGACACGCTCTCAAACACACAGATCGCACATACGCTTCAGGAGACGCTCACCTAGCGTGGTAAAAGGGTGGTCCTTTTCGGTAGAGCACTGCACACAACACAGCACAGAGTGGAACTATGACGCACCCCTATACAGCGACACAGCCGCATGTGGTTAACGTGTGGCTATGTTACCGAGTCTGTGTGTGTGTGCGCGTGCGTGTGTGTGAAAATGTGTTTGTGGATGCATGCATGCAAGTGTTGGGGAGTGGTGGGGGAGTGGTGGGGGAGTGGTTAGCGCACTGTGCTACTAACACGATGACCCCAGTTCGATTCCCGCTTGCGACCAACACCAATGACGATTATCTGAGCCTGTCCTGGGCCTCCCCCTAGGTAGACTCACCATAAAATGAGTAACTAATGCAGTGTGTAAGCATCGCCACTGGGGAGACAAACGAAGCTGGGCGTGATGCTGGCTACCGACCCCCTTGTGTACCGTTCCGGCTTTCATAGGTGCATGCTCACAGCACTTGACTCAACAATCTGTAAAGGCTATACGGGGGAGCTTTGTCTTCATGCGAGAGCATCCATGAGTGTGCCAATGTGAGTGTGAGAATGCACGAGCGCAGGTGCAACCATGAGTGTGCGCACACACGCAAGTGTGCATGCAGATGCGTGTGCGCGCGAGTATTCGCGCTTGTGTGCTATCAATGGGCATGCGTTGATCGCACGCTCGGCATTCTAATGAATTGCCGCTATGCGGCTGCTGGGTTTAAGAACCAATCACACGGAACAGCAACCAACTAAAACTAATTGATTCTCCCGTCAAAGTTGCCATCAATTGGCAGTACGGCAAGTGGATTAATTTCAATTGGGTTTGCATTCGTATGAGGAATGAGTGTTACCTCCAGGTACTCCAGCTTCCTCACACGTGGATAAAAACACTGAAAAATTGAGTTGGCCCAACATCCCAATATCGGGCCACGGAGCTTGGGCAATTTTCGTAGCCAGTTTTGGCTCCTTCCCATTTGTCTGTGGTTACCCACGCCTCCGAATAATTTCTATTTGCACGTTACGCATTCAAAAAGATAAATTACTCACGATGACTACCGCTAGGCCGCTGTCATTAGCTGCGCTTTGGTTTTATCCAGGACACCCCTGTCTGCTGTCCTCCTCCCAGGGTCGCTAAAATTTGATGAGGGGCCTGTTGTATTTGGGGGGGGGGGGGTCCCTCTTATTTCTATGCAATTTACAAATTGTGAAGCCAAGTCAAAGTTAGCAAGGAACAAAACTATATTAATTTTGGCACAGAACTGGCAGTGAAACACATGGTGTCGCGATGGTTTTAATTACAAAGTTACCGAGAGGATTTACCATCGTGCCACAGTATTGCGTTTCAACTGCTACCAAGCTGTGTATATTTTTTGAGGGTGCTCAAATTCGGAAACCCTGGGCCACAAAGCCGCCTGCATTAGTCCCGTCCTGCCCTACCCCAGATAATCGAGAAGTCGACTGTAATTACTCTCTCGGAACTGTGTGACAGCAAGTGTGCAATGCCTACTGGTGGCGTGAGAGAGTGTGTGAGAGTGAGAGAGCGAGGGTGAGTGTGTGAGAGAGCGAGAGGGGGCGTGCGAGACGGAGGGTGTGTGTGAGAGCGTGAGGGCACGCATCGGCTGCCGCTGGTGCTGTGCTTGGTGCTCACACAAGTCGGTTCCGTACTTGAGGCCGGGTTTGGGGACCCAGCCTCGGGAGCGGAAGTAGTGGTAGGCCGGGTAGAGGGCTAGGAAGCGTGGGCACGCGCGCACGCACACTCTCCACAGCTCACTCAGGGACAGCTCCTCCTGCATCATGCACACAAAGATAAAGGCCCCCCGTATAGCGTGAACAGACTGTTGGGGCAAGTGCTGCTCATGAGCACCTATGAAGGCCGGAACGGTACATGAGGGGGTGGGTGGCCAGCACCACGCCCGACCGCCTTTGTCTCCCTAGCGGCGATGTTTACACACCACACCAGGTACTCATTTGAGGCTGAGTCGACCTAGGAGAGGCTCCAGACCGGTTCAGATAATCGTCACTGGTTTTGGCCCGTGAGTGGGAATCAAACTTGGGTCGCCGGGTTCGGAGCACAGCACGCTAAGCGCTACAATACTGCACACACGTGTGCACACACACGTCTCATCCACACACCCCAGACCACACGGTGTCAACCACCGTACTTCTCTTTCTGCTTCTTCTCAGGCACTGATCTACTTTGGAAATTCCTCCTGAAATCTGTTTTTACCAAGCTCATGTAACCTTGCTCAATTCAATAAATGCACGAACTCTATTACAACTTTTAAAGTGCTGTTTGTTTATGGCCTCTTGATATTTTAGGCTTGTAGGCCTGAGCTCTGCAACTGGTTTTGTTATACACAAGTGTGCACACATGCACATTTGAACACACTCGCACATTCACACGAAAGACAAACACCCCCGTGCAACCTTTAACAGACTGTAGAGACAAGCGTCATTGGAAATAAACAAATGTCGCCCCATACACTCATCATCATCACGAGCCACGATCCATCCACTGCAGGAAGAAGGCTTCCAGAGGCCGTCACCAGCTCTCACTGTCTCACCACGCCACGTGGTGCATGGTGCAGGCGGACTGAATTTAGAACGCCTGTCAACATGCAATTAAAGGTCCACGCCCCGGGTTTATTTCCATCGCCGTCATCAGGGTGCCATCATCGCTTACCTCGTTTAGGGAGACGGTCAGGCACCCCAGGGCGTACGCCAAAAAAAATGCCTGAAGCAAAAAAAAAAATACAACCGGGCTAAGTTAGAAAAACAGAAGCGCCACACCAAAAATAATACAGGCAGCATGATGTAAGCACTTTAATGTAAAAAGTTAATAACCTGAGCTAATGTGTTATAAGCGGTTGGCCGGATTAAAATGGATTCCCATGTAATTTATTTGCTGGAAGCCCTCCAGTGTTACATTTTAAATTTCCAAATGTAGTTGTACAGCCCTTTGTATGAACGTTGAACTTCTTTCGCACTGTACGTAGCCAATACAGTGCTGGATGGTCTGCCCACACCACGCTGGTCAGTGCGGGTCAGGAGATCGCGGACTTGGACGCATGGAAAGTACAGTACAATGGGATTTTTCTACACTGCCGTCTGCTGCCCCATTTTTTAATTCCTCCCCAAGGAGATCCCCAATTCACTCACCTCCTCCAGGGCTAGCTGCAGATGCTCTGCAATGCGCTCCGTCTTTTGCTGACACCCGACGATGGGCTTGCACGATTCATCCGGTACCTCTTCGGTCGCCGTTGTCGCTCCTGAATCCGTATGAGCGGCATGCGCTGAATCCAGCCGTGCGGCACCATCACTGTCCCTGTCCACCTCTCGTCCTGCTGCGTTATCTCCATCATCATGGCCGACGGCCGAACCATCGCGCTGGCGGGGGCAAGCGCCGTCCCCTACAGCGTCATTGTTGCCGTTGCTCGTAGCAGCGCCGCAAAGCAGTGAGACTGTCTCGACGCTGCGCGTGCCAGGCAATGTGCCGGGTTGCTCACGATCCCTCCGAGGGTCCCGGCAAGGCTGGCTTCCCGGAGGCGTGAAACGTCGGGTCTCAGAAAACTGAGGTCTGCTTTTCGACAAAAACCCTTTTCCAAAAAATCCCTGCAAAACAAAACAGGAATAAACAATACGAGCAGCGCATTTCACTTGTTTAGTCAACTCTTTCAGCTTCAAGGTTGATAGTGGTGTTAATTAACTGAATTCTATCTTGTATTAAAACAATAATAAAAGGGATGTTGACATGAGAATCCAAGTGAATTTAGGGATCTCTACAGTCTACCCACTAGTGTCACTAGTCTCCGTTGTCTCCACACTGATAGGAATCTTCGAAGTAGTTCTGGTACATCAACTTCTGTGGACCGTTCTCTAGCACAAAAGTTCCAAATTGATTCCTCATCTCATTACAAGACACCAAACAGCACAACCGAGACGACACAATTTACGGAAGCAAAAGACGATGTTGAATTGCATCGCACTGCGAGCCAGAGTGGGGACGTGGTGGGGAATAGTCAGAAAGCACACACCCACACGTGCAGAATGGAGCGAGCGCTCTTACTCGGCTGTACAGCGCCTCCATGTCCCCGCGGTCTCGCACCAGCACCGCACTGTGCACCAGCTCTCCTCTGTAGCGCTCTGACTCATCGCTCCCTTCTCTCCCCTCGCCGAAAGTCACAGCGGCAACAGGTAGACCGAGGTTCCCACACATGGAATCGCTTTCGTTCTCAACAGCGGCGCTCGGCCCTGCGGCGGGAGCGACGCTGCCAGGCTGCTGGTGCGCCACTCTAATACCCCTCGTGGTGGACGGGTCAGCGGCGCCCACGTCTGTGTTCGAGGGTTCGTTCTCGAGAGGGACGGGCGTTGGCCCGTCCAGCAGAAGAGGGGCGCGACGACGTATGGGCACCGGAAAAGGCCCCTCGTACGGTTCGCGAGGCCAGCGCTTGCGCTTGGGGGCACGGAACGGAGCGGGCATCGCCATCAGCGGGGAGGAGGTGGTCCTAGTTATGGAGGTGGTCCCAGTAAGGGTGGTGGGTCCTGGTAAAGTTGGACCTGTGGGAAACAGAAACAAAAGAATCCTGACGTGAACAAATATGGTGTACCATTTGCACGAGCGCAGACGTGGGAGTCATATCTTTGCAGATCAATGTTTGTAGAAATTCTACATTCCTGCCAAGGGAATATCATAATTGAAAACACGTAATGGAGACCTTGCATTTTTGTTTCAATTTGGTAGCGATAGAGGCCAGCCTGTGCCCAAATCACCCGGAATGCGTCGATCTCAGAAGATGCGCAGGGTTGCGTCCGAATAATGCTTGTATGTGCTACCACCATCCAATAAACAGGTATTATAGGCTGCTCCAATGCTATGCTGTGGGCAGCAAAGAGCAATGTAACAAAATCAACTTATTTAAGGCAGCCATGAGCGGGAATCGAACTCGGGTGCCGGGTTCGAGTCGGAGTACGCCAACGACTGCGCCACCACTTTCCTTAACCATACAAAGATCCCCCGTATAGCCTTAACAGATTGTTGGGGCAAGTGCTGTTAGCGAGCACCTACGCAGGCCGGCACAGTACACGAGGTGGTGGGAGGCCAGCACTACGCCCCGACCGCCTTTGTCTCCCCAATAGCGATTCTTTTACACATCGCACCGGGTACTCATTTGAAGCCGGGTCGAACTAGGGGAGTCCCAGGACCGGTTCAGATAATCGTCACTGTTGGCCGTGAGCTGGACTCGAACTCAGGTCGCCGGGTTCAAGTCGAAATACGCTAACGAGTGCGCCACGACTCCCCTTAATCACACACGCACGGTACGTACACAAGGGGGCGCTCGGGACAACCAAGCCCGCACGAAGAAGCGAACGTCGAGGCCACGGAATGGAGCAAGAGGCACGCGGGTTCCCGTCCGTGCCGCCTCGGGGTCCCGACTCCCCGTGTACCCCCGGGCCTGGGGTCGCCTCGGGGCAGGTCCCTCTTCGACCCTTCGCCGCGGCCTCCACGCTTCTCCGGGCGCCTATCACCGCTCTGGAGTTTGCGGGCCGGTATTTGCTTATCGGTGAGTCAAAAGTCTCTCACGAACCACCCTACAACACCGCCTCTTAGCGCCGATTGGTGGCTATGATAAAAAAAACGCGCCTTATGTCGCTCTCAGATCGTGCTCCTAAAGTACCTTAGCCATTGGTGGTAATTCCATATTGGTATGGCCGGGCGCGAAGTCAGTCCGAATTACAAACAGCGGCTGATATCGCACAAAGTGGTTCTCACTTTATCGCCCCATGGCGAGTTTTAAGTCGCGAGAGGCAGTACTCAATTACGAATCCCGGAGGCGTGAGATAGCAAAGTCTTCATCCAGCAGTGGATTGATGAATAATGATACCGAGTTCACCGCCACCTCGACTGTGATTACTCACCCGCAATTGCAATTAGCGATTAGCAATCAGCTGACACGTGTGTGTGTGTGTGGAAGGCGCACACATGGTGCCGCAATGGGCGCTGCCATATTGACGATCAGCTGTTCAAAGCGGCCTCCTCACCGCCGCGTCTCGTGGCGTCTCCCTGCGCGCGTTTATTTTGCTTCTGTGTCGCCTTCCTCTCTCGCCCAGGCGAGGGCCCCTGGCTCCTCGTGTGCGACCCGCGTCGCCCGGGGCCCCTGCTCCGCTTGCTGCTGTTGGGGTCGCACCGGGTGCACGGCCTCCGCGTCCGGGAGGCGCGTCCAGGCGAGGCCGGGGACTTGGTCGCGGCCTTCGGTGGGAAGGGATTCGCCGTGGCGAGGCTGTGGGCGGGGCTTGTTGATAAGGGGGCGGGGCCTGGTGATAAAGAGGCGGGGCCTGGTGATAAAGAGGCGGGGCCTGGTGATAAAGAGGCGGGGCCTGGTGATAAAGAGGCGGGGCTTGTTAATAAAGAGGCGGGGCCTGGTGATAAAGAGGCGGGGCCTGGTGATAAAGAGGCGGGGCCTGGTGATAAAGAGGCGGGGCCTGGTGATAAAGAGGCGGGGCCTGGTGATAAAGAGGCGGGGCCTGGTGATAAAGAGGCGGGGCCTGGCGATAAAGAGGCGGGGCCTGGTGATAAAGAGGCGGGGCCTGGTGATAAAGAGGCGGGGTCTGGTGATAAGGAGGCGGGGCGTGAGGGAGCCGCCTGCAGCCATTGGTCGGAGCGCGAGAGCGGGGCGAGGCAAGCGGCGGACTGCTGCCCACGTGCTCCGTTCATTGAGAAACTTTCGGAACCTCGTGTGGAGCGCGACTGGATCTGGGACTCGAGATTTGTACAAGATTCCGGATGCAGCAACGAAGGTATACTTGCCCACGCAGGTCACTTCCACCACCCTCGACCAGGGGGGATTTGTTTCTCGCCGAGTATTTCCCTGGGAGGCTGGAGGACTGCATGCAGAATGTTGACTACGATTTGCCACAGGGTGGTTGGATGTGGTGTGCCGGATGAGATTAAGCCTTGCCTCCTGCGTGACAACACAGGCCAACGACCCAGAAATGTTATTTGCACTATTCTAGTACAATTCCTGTGTTTCACAGACGAGTATATGCTGCCTAGTATAGAGTGAAGTTGCTGCGTGGCTATATTAAATTATGTAATTCGCTTACTTAGACTGTGTCGCCAACACACATGGCCCCTTTCATACAACATAACAGCGAATTTTTTACTTGCACTGTGAATCATAAATAGAGTATTTTTGCAATACACCGGCAGCATTAACCAGGGTGGCCGTAAGGGATCGAACCGCAAACCTCTCCACATCACCGCCCTACATTGATCATCACGGAGCCCCATTCCCACTGCTCCCCTCTCGCCCCTGCCTGGCAGATCTGCTGGCGGTCGCACTGGCCCACAATGCTGTGCGGCTGTGGGAGTGGCGGCGTGGCGTGGTGAGGCGCGAGGCGCGGTGCGCCGACACGCGGGTGCTCTACTCGGCTCGGCTCGTCGGCTCCACTTGGGACTCGCTCTGCTGCCTGGCGGGGACCGTGGGAAACCACGTGGTGCTGTGGAAACCGGCACAGGTACGCAAAACCACCACAGCGTGGGTACTGCCCCCTAACCCCCACCCCCCCACCGGATGTCCCTGGGGCTCGTTGTTGTCGTTGTTGCTGTTGAGCCGCGGTCGCTTCGTCCCGAGTTGTGCCGTGGTGCCGCTGTCGCTCCTCTCTCCCGTGTTCCCTGGCCTGATAACCCACCCCTGCACCCCCTCAGTCCCCTTCCACCCTAATGTGGTTTTGTTTTCAAATTTTTACGGCATTTTGAGATGCGATTGCATTTCGGACTTTTTTATTTACCGGAGCCACCAAAGTACGGCCATAACCGCGGCTAGTCCTGCTTCGCTTTGCTCTTCCTCTGCAGGCCGGGCCGGATGGCCATGCGCCAGTGCTCCGCCGGCTGGCCGGCCACTCGGGCGTCATCTTCTCGATCGACTACGACGAGCGGTCGGGTGTTCTCGCGTCGGCATCCGATGACCGCAGCGTGCGGGTGTGGCGACTCGGCGACTCCACGGTCGACCCGCCTGATCCCACGTTCGACGCTGCCCACCCTCCCGAGCAAACGGATAATTTTACCGCAAGGTCGGTCCATGTCCGAGCCGCGTCGGGCGATGGCGGCGGCGGCAACGGCTCTGAGCGGAGTGATGAAGGTACGGGTTACCGTGGCGGCACAAGCCCCGGCAGTGGCGCAAGCGGCTGCGCGGGCCAACGACTTCCACCGGACATGCCGGCCGAGCGGGTGCTGTTCGGGCACCAGGCGCGCGTGTTCGTGGTGCGAGTGCTCCCCGGGACCGGAGGCCGCGTGGCGGCGAGCGCCGGCGAGGACGGCGCCGTGCTGACGTGGGACCTGGCGGACGGGCGTGTGCTGGGCTCGGCGCGGGGCCACCCGGGCGGCCGTGGCGTGCGAGCCCTCGCCGTGCACGCCGACACCGGCGTTGTGGCAACGGGCGGCGCCGATTCCGCCGTGCGGCTCTGGCAGGTGGGCTGGGGGGTTGGCGGGGGTTCGGGGTGGTCCTAGTTGGTCTTGTTGATCGATTGTCGATTGTTCAATTATTGTTTTTAGACTCGAATTGGTAACATTGTGAGTACACTGTGGAAGATAGTGCACTAAGGAAAACCAAGAATGGTACTTGGCTATAAATGTATGTGAAACTAGTTCATCGATTGGCTGACCAAATAATATAATGGAGTCAGAAATTTCACACCCTTACACCAACATTTGAGTAATAGTGAACCGCAAGTTTGATGGTTTGATGGTTTAGTCGACAAGACTATGAGCATGACGAAATTAAATCCACAGCGAAACACTGACACCCATACCCCCTTCACCTCCAGCTGGGCTTGAAGGGCAGTGCCACGGGGGAAGACGAAGGCAAGATGGCTGCTGAGGAGCTGGGCCTGCACGCAGCGGGAACCCCCAAGATCCTGGCCCTGCCGACGCTGCGGGACCTCATCGTGATGACGGACGCAGGAGAGGTCCTGTGGCACGACCTGGAGGGTGGCACAACCCGCACCATGCTCTGCCTCCCGGAGTTCCGCTCCTACTCCCTCATGGCCGTCACCCAGGGGACCGCTGCCGAGGAAACAATGATCGCCCTCGGCAACCTAGACGGGAAGGTCCGGGTGTTTCCCCTCGTCCGTCCGGGCACGTCTTGGGAAAGCCAGCCGTACGAGGGCAAAGTTCACAACCTGACCTGGGCCGACGCACAGACAGACGGTGGAGGTGCGGTAGCGATGGCGTTCGCGACGGGTCAGAGGCCGCGGTCCCTGTTCTCGTCCGGACCGGACGGCCTCCTCATCTGGTGGGAGGTCACGATCCCGGCAGGCGATGGCAGTGCGAGCGGCCCGGGGCTCACCGTGCGGGAGAAGGCCCGCTTCCGGCTGCCGATGTGCCGCCAACGCTGGCACACGTGCGCCTCTTTTGTGCCGGGTTCGGCTCCGCCCAGTGTCGTCTGCGGCGACCGCCGCGGCTCCCTGCTGTTGTTTGTGTCTTCCCGTAACGCCGAGCCTGCCAGATGGGATGGGAAGTCAGTAGGTGGCACTGCTGGTGAAGGCTGCAGTGGCGATGACGATGGTGACGAGGGTGATGAGGGTGATGGAGGTGATAACACAGGTGCTGCACTGCCACCTTCTGCTGCTGAACCAGGTAGCGCCCGACCCTTGTGCGCCAGCGAAGAGTGCAACAGCGACGGAGGCATCGGCAGGAGCGACGGCAGCGACGGCTGCAGCAGCGAAGAGGATAAAAGTGCCGGCAGCGACGATGGCATCCCAGGCCCCGCATCGTCGCTGTTCGGCCTGCACGGCCGGCATGGCGTGACGTCCTTGGTCGTGCGCGCGCGTATGGACAGTGGTGACGAGGGTGGCGGCGGCACCACGGTGGTCTACTCGACGGGTCGCGACGGCGTTTACCGCACCACGGCCGTAGCAGCGAGGTCCGGTCGTGGCCTCCACCTCGTTGCGTTGTCCGCGCATCGCCCGGCCCAGCGCGCTGACTGGCTCGAACGCCTGCTGCTGATCGACGACACCACGCTGTCCACGGCAGACGTGAACGTCGACTCCAACGCCCGGGAGCCGCGGGTCGTGGTGCTGGGGTTCCGGTCGAGGAACTTCGTTGCGATCTGCGAGCGCACGGGTCGTCTGCTGGCCAGTGTGCCATGCGGGGGCGGCCACCGCTCTTGGGCCTACCAGCAGGACTCTCGCGGCCCCCAGCTCGGCCCCAGGGTCCTCGCCTACATCAAAGGTCGGTCTCGAGTCATGGTAGGCGGGTAATGGACCGTGGGTTTGACGATCAAAATGTATTGTTACGCTCACGATTCATGTCCAACTTTGCTCGTGCGTGAGAATAGGTTAATTACGATTCATGAAAAATATACGCAAATAACTTGTTTAAACGAATGGAGAGAACAAGACCGTACAAACAGTACATAAAAGTATAAAAAAAACGTTCTTGAATAGAAAACATGACATGGCTATTGATGGTATCGCAGGGAGGGTTGATTATATGCTTATTTCGCGAGCTCTTGAATGAAATCTTCGCAAGGCATTAATCAAAGCGTAATCTGTGTGCATTCCTTCCTGTCGACAGCTGGACGGGTGTGTTTATGCCGTAGCGGCCGGAGGTCACGCGACCACTTCCAGCCAGTGCTACGCGAGGGCCTGCATGGGCGAGAGGTGACGTGTGTGCGTTACCTTGGTGACGGGCTCATCGTCACGGCCAGCGAGGACACAACCGTGCGTGTCTCTCGTCTCCCTGTTCCCCGCGATCCCCGTGATCCTCGCGACCCTCGCGACCCCGACCTTGTGACCCTCCTCACCCTTCGGGAACACGTGTCGAGCGTCAAGGCGCTAGCTATCGCCGACTGCGCCGCTTTGCTGGGCACCTCCTCGGACGGCCGCTCGGTAACTACGCCGCCGGTGGCAGGGGCGGCAGGCGTGAGGGGCGGGCCGAGGACCCCACCGTTGGCGCAGCCGAAACCGGACGTGGCGGAGCAGCGGAGCCGCGGGTTTTCACGGTTGCTGTTCTCGGCTGGCGGCCGAGCCGAGCTGCGCTGCTGCCGCATCACAGTGGTGCCGGGCGACACGGCGTGCCACGTGGAGAGCCTTGCCGCGCACCGGCTAGACGCGCAGTGGGAGCGACGGAGAGACCGGCACCGGTTCGTCAAGACTGACCCCGAGACTCGGTAAGCATTAGCGCAGCTCCTGCCGCTGATGCTGCTAGTACTGCTGCTTTTGATGCTGCTGCTGAGATAAAATGCAGCATCGCACTTTCTCTGGACAAACGCAAATCGGAGAACTCTTGACATTCTTCATTAACGCTGCTTTAAACACGAATACACATATATAAGATGACACTTCCGGCAATGACCTCTCTGCTATATTTCCTGCTGCAGTGCCGGGAGATTGAATCGGTTTCCTCTGGATTTCAGGCCCAGCATTCTCATCGCCACATCGCGGCAGTGATCCCACGTCTAAATGTTGGGATGGTAAATTTACTCGACGATGCAAAACCTGAAGTGGAATGCCGGTTCCTTCCCCTCTCTCCCCCCGCAACGCCGCCACGGCACAGGTACATGTGCGTGTGTGTGGTGGGGCCCAGCGTTGGAACGCACGGGGTTCACCTGCTGGCTGCCGCCTGCAGTGACGCATATGTCAGGTGAGGCTGCTCGCTCGCCTGCTCGCCAATGTCTATTTTGTTTATATATTAACTTCATACCTGGGCTTTCCCTACCGATATGATTTGTGTTTTTGGTTCGATCATCGTGCATATTGTAGCGATAACCCTCCACCACCTGACACAACCAAGCTAATCGAGTTGCCACGTGGGCAATTGCGCTTCAAAACCAGTTACGTTGCAAAGTGAGCAAAATGTGAGTGCGTTGTACGACCTTTCTCTGGAGATGAATATTATTCTTACACCAACATCATGAGGAGTGGGCGAGAGCTCGGATCTCGAGAGTACGTGTGCCTTCCTGATCCGGCTCCTCAAGTAGGTGCCGTGATGTTATCAGAACAGCCATGCTGGTGTCTTCTATTCTGGTTGTGCTCTCGGCTTTGACCGCTCGGAGTGCCCGCAGAGCAGTGAGACACCTGCGTTTCAGAGCATGGTGCGTAGAAGCCAGGTAGCCTCAAACGAATTCTGAGATGCCTTTTAAGTGACCACTTAATCCACGTACCACAAAAAAGCGTAAACACGTTCATCAATAACATTGTGATCATATGCATATATAATAGACAATGCTTCTGACAAGGGCCCTTCATCGCGCATACAAGGGAAACTATATTTTTCCACAATGCCCTGCTGCAAAGATGTTGTTCACAAAACTGAACTTTGGCCAATTTAATTGAAAACCCAAATTTAAAGAGATAGTTTTGCACCGTTTGAACCTCCTTTGCCAGTAGCAAAATATGATAATTGTTTTTTTTACCCTTTTTATCTGGCAACAAAACTGACACCTTTTGGCATCATCTGGTCCAACACCATGTGAGACTAGGCTCGAAGAAAAGCTGTCTCGGGTGTGTCAATTTCAAGGACAGTGCATACATTATCAGAGTTGTGTTTTTTGTTTGCATTCCGACCGCAGGTATTGTGGTTAATGCAAACATGACTCGGTTTTGTTGCCAGATAAAAAGGGTAAAAAACCAATGATCAACGAGATAGTTTTGGTTGCCCAGTCATTGGTGATGGAGTTGAGACTATTAGCTCGCTCTACTTGAGAACCCAGTTTACTCATGGAAGGCTGAAAGCAGAATTCAAACCCAAGATCCTATTGGTGCCGGTGTAAACAAATATTAGATCTTTATTCGCCCAGGAAAACACGTCGGAGAGAAAATACTGTGCTGCTTACAATATTAACCAGCAGCACATCACATTATTAAATGAACACTCATTAATTGGGTGAAATATCATCACCTAAAGAGGACCGCTGAGCTTAGGAAAGTATTGGTATCGGCTCACTGTGTGGCTGCTGCTGCCTTCCCGCTTGTCTGTGCTTCCTTCTCGTGCCTCTGAGTCATCACCTCTCTAAGCGATTGGAAGCAGAATGATACAAGTTGTCATTACTATTATTATTATAATCCCGTTTTGCGGAAACCTATATTCCCTGACACCGGATCACGGAGACATAGCCACCCGCCTCGCACCGTCACTTCGATCATCGTCGTCATCATCGTCCTTGTCGTCTTCGCTCTGCACACTACGTGAGCCGCGTGCCGCTGTCTCTTCTCCGGGACGCAGGCTGTTTGCGTTTGAGGAGCGAGCGAGGAGTCTTGAGCTGCTGGCCGAATCGGACGCCCTCCAGCGCTGCGTGCTCTGCGTCGACTCCGTGGACCTGGGATCCAACCTTGACGGCCAGAGGTGCGGGGTGGAGGATGGGGAAGGGATACTGGCTTCTTGTCAATTGTGATGCTGCCTTATTTTAACAATAATAATACAGTCAAAGCTCTCGAAGCCAAACTTGAGTAAGCCATATTGCTGGGTGAGCTAAAAGGCAACTATTAAACTATCAAATGTGTTTTATTTCACAGGTAAGGCCCACTGAGCTATATAGTTATTTTTCAGAAGTGACCCGGCTACAAATTATAGCCCAATGAAGTGGCTTATGTTGAAATTTTATAGCAGCCAAAATACTACTACGGAGAGAACAGGCAAACTCCAAATATACAGGTGTCAGGGTCGGGATCGAACCCATGACCTCCTGTACACCAGGCGAGTTCACATCTCGCCACCATGGCGCCCACAATAATAGGCAACGTTTCAGGCAATGGTCCTTCATAGCACATACTTAGGGAGACAATGCATAAGAGTTGGAGACGTTACTTAATACCATGGGGCCTGATGAAAATACAAATCTAAAACTGTTTCCCGATGAACAGGTTTAAAATTGGCATATGAATAGTTGCCTATTAGTGGACACTGAGCAACAGACAAACGCTTAAATTATATCAAGCATGTATTTCTAAATAAACTAATTTGTTTAAAAGTGTATAAAAAGGTAACTTGTATAGGTTTCTCATAAGTAGTGCTGTGTTATCTGCTTCTGCCAGACCATTCTATACCACGGAGCGATGCGCTGCTGTGCAAGAATTCCAAATGGACTCTTTGTCCCTTGACATGCCGCTGCCAGCACAGCTGGAATAGAATTGGGAACAACGAATGAATGAATAAATAAAATGGAGGCCGCACCTCGGTAGCGGGCTTCGTTGGAGCGGCTGGAACTAAATCCTGGACTGGCTGCTGGCTTGGGCGGTGGCTGGGAGATCAACTCCTCGCCTGCTGTTTGTGTCTGACCGCGCGGCCTCCTCAGGTGCGTTCTACTTGCGAGCGGTGCCACCGATGGCACTGTTGCATTCTGGGACGTCGGCCGCTTCGTGGGCGGGCGGCCCAGCTCGAGCGCCGAGCCGGGAGGGACGAGCCAGCCGGCTGGTGAGCGAGCGCGCACCGGCACGCCGGCTAGAGACTGCCTGCCACAACATGGCGATTATTTTTCTTTTCCGCCTAAATATTAAATAAAATTTAAAAACCCAATAATGAAAAGTTCTAAATAGATAGCAAAATGTTTTCACGGATCCTTGAATTTTACACCTCATGTAACTGACCGCACGTGTGCTCCGTTATGCAGATTTGTAATTCGGCTAGGTGGCTCCGTGTCTGAGCGAACGGCTTGCAATCGGAAGGTCCCAAGTTGAAATCCTGGTTGGGGGTTGACTTAGCCCATCATTCCTCTGGGGTCGATAAAATAGAATACCACTTTGTTGGGAAGTCAACAGTAGATGTCTATGGTTAACACTTCCACAATCATAGGAATGAAGAATTTCCACCACTGGTTCAGGGCTGTAAACAGGTGATGAGCATTGCCTCAATGCTCATTGGACCAGGAAATCACTGTCTTGTTATCATTTGTATCAGTTGAGAATGAGAAGACATTATTCTCCCGCAGACCTGGGCATGCCGTGCGGAGCATTGCGCGTCCACCAGTCGGGGGTGAGCTGCGTGCGGGTCCAACTGGTGGATAACGACCATGGGGACGGGCGACACCACCGCCTCCTCGTTGTCAGCGGCGGTGACGACGGCGCTATCTCCATGGTGATCGTCTCTGTGGAAACGCCCGGTGGCCAGGCCCCACCAGTCCTGTGCTCGCTCGCGTCGGTTAGCATCGACCATGCCCACGCTGCGCAGGTCACGGCCGTTGCCGTGCTCCCCATCTCCGTGGCAACACCACCTCGTCCGGACGCCATCGCCGAGGCAACCGTCGCCGCCGTGTCCGCCGATCAGCGCCTGTCTCTGTGGCGACTGGTCGCTGCGGCGACCGGAGATGGAACGGCCGAGCCGCTCGTGAGCTGCCTGAGTCACGTAGCCGACTTGGCTGCGTTCGATTGGCGGAGGGGCCGGCGGGAGGGGGAGCTGGAGTTCGTGGTGGCGGGCGTGGGCGTGGAGGTGATTGACGTGAGGCCCACGCAGCCACCCCCTGAAGGAGCATGGCTCGACCGGCAGGAGGCAGCCTTAAGCCAGTAGCTGAAGCCACGTGGCATCGCTGTCTTAACAGTGCGGGGGGGAGGGGGGGGGTAGCCTCCACTTCACCCCACTGGAGCGTCAACGATCAAACGATCATGGTTGACGCTCCAGTGAACTTCACTTGTTGATTCGTCTACACGTGATGAGGACTACCAGACTGTATTACCTCATCCACCACACTGCAGGTCACAACGCTTTTCTCTCTACTTTTTCCCTCGCACTGCTCTTTGCAATTATCTCCCACGGTTGTATTTCCCCAAAGTCGTACAACCTTTCTCAATTCAACAATATAGTAACTCTCCTCCAATACTGGCCAACAGAGTGGAACAGCACGGGTGTCCAGAATAAACGACTCATTCAAGACCCAAACATCGCACCTCCTGGCTTTGAGATTCCTCCTCAAAGACGCTGGTGTCATCATCAACCGCATCATCAGAACATCAACAGGCCGATGTGAATGTCTCCTTCATGTATGGCAAATTGAAGACAAGACATTCTCGTGCAATTGTAAGTCTAAGCATTTCTTATCGCGCGCTACGATGTCTAAACGGTCAGCACATGACGGACGGCACGTAGCTGACAAAGTTAATAGAAGTCCCGTCTGGTTGGCAAGAATGCCGAGACACGTTGCCTTATCTGACGCTAGAATGTCACAGCGGTTTATGCCGATGGACTCACAATTTTGCCTTGCGAGCTGATGGAAGCTCCCGAGTGTGATGAATTCAGATTTGTTCCAAATCAACTTCAGCTGTTTATGTCGGCAATGCACGATATCAGGTGTAGGATGTGAGAGACGCACAACTTAGCATTTGAGTGAAGGTAGAGCTGTATATCATCGGCATATGAACGCACGCCGATATGATGATGGGCGATGACGACGCCGGTGTGGAGGAGGAACAGCACCGGACCAAGTGGCACACGACAATTCACCGGTGACATTTCTGACTGGCTACCACCAAAGCTGACTGTATCCAACCTGTAATGAAGGATGCAATCCATAAGAGTACAGTACCATAAATGCCATAAGTGCTCTGAAGGTGATCGACTAAGATGCTATGATCAACCGTATCAAACAGCAGACGGGTCCAGTAGGCAGAGCAGCGTAACTTGTGGGCATGCAAACCACTGTGGTATGTGTTCCTTCAGCAGAGGAGGAACAGCAAAACTACAGAAACTCTCCTGAAGCTCCCCTTGTGGCTATCAGACATCGACATTGGCATTTAGCTTCTTAACATATTGTAATGCGAGCGTAAACGGGCTCGCTGGATGTGACGTAACAGGTGGGAGGAGTTAGGGTCACGTGGGGAGAGAGAGCTTTTAAGGACAGGAACCGGAAGGGCTCCAGGAGAGAGAGTAGAGAGAGGAGGAGGCCACGCGGGGCAGGAGAAGTAAAGTGGCGCGATCGCCACAGGTCGGGGACTCGGCACCATCGGCCATCGGTGTCCGGGCACAGAGGCGACAGAGAGCCAGCAGTGGGGCTGCAGATCGGGCAGCAGTGAGGCTGCGTAACGGGCAGCAGTGGGGCTGCATGGTGGGGCAGCAACGGGGCTGCAGGAGCTCGGCAGCAGTGGGCTGCCGAGCGGGAGACGGAGGAGACACTGAGCGAGACGCCGTGCGGTCAAGTTGTACGAACCAAATAAAGGACAACGGAGACAGACCCAGTGCAAGAGTCCTTTATTACAATATTGCCATATGCAGGAATACAAAAACAAACACCTTCAATCGTGCCGTTCGTTGTTGGGCACTGGTTGCTTGACATGTTGGGCCTCAACTGGGCAACATCTCAAAACGTTCTTCCCGGTGTGCTGTACTAGTAACACATTTACATGTTTTGTTTACGTGACAAACCTTACTAATTGGCTGTGTCGGGTGGTGGCAGGTTTAATGACATTTATGTTGATGCGATCTAACCCAAAAAACCTGTATCATCGATATTGGTCGCGAAAGCCTACTTGTTATAAACTGTTCCTTCCCATCCCATTTTTTATGTAAGAGTAGATTTGTTGTGTGGCAACTTGCATATAATTGCAGTCAAACTGTTGCTTGTTCCATAAACACATCTATTGTACTGGTCATGATGTTATATGTTTAAGTTTATATTGCATAAATGTTTATGGTGTATGCATTGATCATTGTTAATTTATTGCGAATAATGTTTCATAGTTGTCTTTTAACGTTCAATATAAATATCAGATTCATGGCATTAGATATGTTGATGGTTTACATGCCTCCTCTGTTTTGTTACTCAGGTCTCTGATGAAAAAGAGACTTTTGGTCTCAAACAGGATCTCAATTGATTTTAAATAAAGGATGAATTACATATTTACGTAATTAAGTTTCAAGTTTCATTTGTTTTACCAGGTGAGAACTCAAGTCTCATGTGCAAGTGACCTAGGGCATTAGTCCGCCAGTAGGGGGCGATGTTGGTATGCGTAATCCCAAATTGAATAATTTCTGAAATTATTTTCGACTTTTTATCAATTTGGACCCTGACACTGCCACACAGCGGTCTTACTCTTGCCAATGACGTCGGGGGATCTTTAACGTCGGCTGTCAAACGAGCGGCGCGTAGTATTGCCATGGTTATTTCGCCCGCGGTGGCAATCGGGGTGGCCTCTGGATTAGAACGGTGAATATCTCCATTAAGTGGTGAACGCGCTCACGCTAAGGCATGTCGCCGTCCCCCTGGCCATCCTTTCATTGGCAATCACTCGCAGTCGAAGATAATTGTCTTCAATGTTTTTGTGGGTCCGAAGACAGCTGATGAGACCGATCCCAGATTGGCGGACTCTGTCGCAGCTTAGTGTTTCCTAGCAGGATAGGTAGCCCTGGGTTGTTGATTCAGTCTGCGACCACACGACTGTTTCTGCCACACCCATGGTGGAGAGATGTTAACGACTTCACCTGGTATACAGAACATCGTAGGTTCGATCCCGACCCTGACATCTGCATTTTTCTCCGGATCCTCTGGTTTTCCCTCTACATTTTTAAACATCGTTTGGAGTATTTGGGTGCTATACATTTCCACGTGATAAGCTACTTCGTTGAGCTATCATTTGTGGCCAGGTCGCTTCTGAGAAAGATCTGTATAGCTCAGGGGGCTTTATCTGGTAAAATACAAATACATTTCGATTTAAAGCTTTCGTGACTGCAGGGATTCATCTTCTTACAATGTATAGTGCTAAATTCCTCTGTTGATATGCAAATTTCTTTGTCAAGGCGCCCTTCCTCTAACCCAGCTTAAATACACGCTGCCAAACTTGGTAATGTTCATTCAGACGCTGTCTTTCCGACAGACCTGTTCTTCACCTGAGGACGGTTGCCTGCGTTGTGGCCGAAACGTCGTGAGAATTGTATTTTATTATGTTTTATTTTTTATTATTTTATTATTTCCCTTCTACGTGACTTTACCGAAAGAACCAAGAAGAAAAATACAAATAGTTTAGTTTTATATTTTTCGTTTCTCCTGTCGTCATCGTAGGCTTTTGAAGTGCTGAGATCGTTGCAGCAGAATGCTTCCTCCACCTGGAACGATCTTGGGCAATAGTCTCCCAAGAGTTGCACTTGTTCATGTTGGCCTTGGAGACCTCCTTAAAGCATTTTTTCTCCCCCCTTGAGCATTCTCCTTGACTGAGCTGAGAGAATAAAACTTGCTTTGCGAGTCTCAAGTCAGACATTCGGATGACGTGACCGGCGCAGCAAGATTGATGTCGGAAGATTATCATCTCGATGTGGTGTTTGCTTGCGAGCGAAAGGATACTAATGACTGAATTCGAAAAATCATCTGCAGCACATAAAACAATGCACTGAAGTCTGCTCCATTGTTAAGTGCACTCACTTAACGTGAACATAAACTTTCAATTCAGCAAACTTCCATGTCTAAATTTAATCATGTAATGCAATACATTAAAAAACGGGAAAATGTCAAAACTGGGTGGTTTTAACTTTTGCCGACAAAACTGGATCCCAAATGTCAAAACTGGGTGCACCCTGGGTGGCCAAAAACTTGAGTTTTGGACACTCAGGGTGCACCCAGTTTTGACATTTGTCACATACACTTGATAATTGTATACTAGCACAGTGTGCCAGCACCCCATTCATCCAAACACTTGGTATTTGTATACTGGCACACTGTGCCAGCACCCCATTCATCTAAACACTTGGTATTAGTATGCTGGCACAGTGTGCCAGCACCATATAACTACACACACTTGATATTTGTACGCTGGCACAATGTGCCAGCACCCCAACGACCAACATTTCAAGCTACGGCTCGCACTCGGAAGTGAGCTCGGGGCGGGCTTGCGACCAGGCGGGCGCACTGCCACCTTGCGTGATGACCTAGACTAGTGACTCGCGTCAATACCAAACTTTTGGATTGTTGGTTGATGCTACGCGCTAATGTACATGCAAGCTGGCACACTGCACCAGTATACAAATGGCAAGTTCGTGTATGTTCGCGAGCTGAAAGTGTTACTGTAGTTGCAAGCTGGCACACTGTGCCAGTATACAAATGGCAAGTAAGTGTTACTGTAGTAGCGAGCTGGCACACTGTGCCAGTATGCAAACGGCAAGTAAGCGAGCTGGCACACTGTGCCAGTATACAAACGGCAAGTAAGCGAGCTGGCACACTGTGCCAGTATACAAACGGCAAGTAAGCGAGCTGGCACACTGTGCCAGTATACAAACGGCAAGTAAGCGAGCTGGCACACTGTGCCAGTATACAAACGGCAAGTAAGCGAGCTGGCACACTGTGCCAGTATACAAACGGCAAGTAAGCGAGCTGGCACACTGTGCCAGTATACAAACGGCAAGTAAGCGAGCTGGCACACTGTGCCAGTATACAAACGGCAAGTAAGCGAGCTGGCACACTGTGCCAGTATGCAAACGGCAAGTAAGCGAGCTGGCACACTGTGCCAGTATACAAACGGCAAGTAAGCGAGCTGGCACACTGTGCCAGTATACAAACGGCAAGTAAGCGAGCTGGCACACTGTGCCAGTATGCAAACGGCAAGTAAGCGAGCTGGCACACTGTGCCAGTATGCAAACGGAAAGTTTGTGGTGCAAGGTGTGGAACATGAGCCACGAGAAACATCATTTGGAACGCTCTAAATCTGTGGCGACATATGGATGAATAACGCAAGGACCTAAACGTGTACAAAATGATACATTAAATGGTACACCTTCTTCACCCAGTTTTGACATTTGTCCACATTGAACATCACCCAGTTTTGTCATATCAAAAAGCACCACCCTGTTTTGCCTGTCGTTTTCCAAGACCACCCAGTTTTGACATTTGGGATCCAGTTTTGTCGGCAAAAGTTAAAAACCACCCAGTTTTGACATTTTCCCATTAAAAAACGATTGTGACGCGACATGAGGTTTGCACGAGCAGGGTGGGAGGGAATTGAGGGAGGCAACGCCACCCGAGGCCTTTCCGGCACGGCGAGAGCTGGTCTGGAGCAGCCTCCGCCACGGGCAGACCCTCGTGCGCCATCGTCGATTGGCTATCTGCCATGCCGCCTGGCCGGGCCGCAGGCCGACTTCCACGTCCGAGTCCCAGAGCGAAGCATGGGCCTGGGGTTGGAGGAGCAGCCCCGAGCCGTTCTCACCCCCTCCGAGTGCACCGGCGTACGCCACAAACTCACGGGCCCACACCGCAGCTAGGAAACCAAATCTCACCTCGCAACCTCACACTGGAGATAATAGTTCACCCCGCTTCGTTGAGTAGAAAGTACCCATGCCACCGTCGCTTTAGGTGGGTGTATCCGTGCGTGTATGTACATATATGTAACCTTACCCACGGGTGGGTATCGATATATGTGTATCTCTCCACAGGGGTGATGTGAACATAACCTAAGGTTGGTTCTTCGCGTCCACGGTGAATATACACTTTTCCCACCTTTTGGCGAGCTCTGGCGGTACGGGGTGCGGTTATATTAGGCCGTGCCTAGTATAGCCTGATAAGAGGGGGGAACCGTTTTGTGCACGATACCAATTACTCGGCGGTGGCCCTACTGCGTGCACAGTGCACAATGCCTAAAGTTGGGTCCTCATCCCACACACACCCCCATACCCCTTCCACCCGAGGTTAAGCGGCCTTCTCACGGCTCTGGGAAACCGCTCCTCGGGGTGAAGACCCTGTGCATGCCTCGCTGGCGGCAAGGCAGGATTTCTAAACTGAGGGCCTCCCGTTAAAACTGAGCCCTCATAGAGTTAGACATCTGCCTAACAATAACAGACAATTGCACACACACAATGCACTACCAACAATATGAAGACCACGACGACAGACTGTGTAACATTTAATCTCTCATGTCGGGTTTGGCTGGGCATAGACGAACTTTCTGGGGTGACTCGACCCGATGTGCGCGGCGCGGTGGCACTTAGACGCAGAAGGTACGAGTTCCCGCGAACCTCTATGCCTTCCCATTCGTCTACAAACGACCACTCTCTCCAGCACTTCCTCCTCTCGAGTCTAGACTGTGCCGCTTATGCTCTGTGCCTCCCCTTTCTGGTTCACAACCACTCTGGGCCTGAGCTCCCTGATTTACTACCGATAGGGGAGCAGTTGTACGGGATTCACCTGGGCGAATCCATCAATATTCTTGGGTCATTCGGTAAAGTCACTTAGATAGTTTAACGAAAATAACAAAAAAACTACAATGTTTTGATCGCAACACAAGCATTCGTCATCAGGAAGAAAAAACAGTGGGACAGCTGCTGAGGTAGACTGTTTTAAAGGTTTAAAATGGGTGTAGACCAAGGGTCTACGAACGCTTGTGTTTGAATGGAAACGTAGTTTTTTGTTATTTTTTGTTTCTTTCTTTGAACTATCTATGCGACTTTACCGAAAGACCCAAGAATATGAATTTCTGCAGTCACGAAAGCTTTAAGTTAAGATATAACCGCCTCTATGGAGAGGGTTTCCACACAACTATTAGATCTTTTAACAAACTTCGAGACAAGAAGGGTCATATGATCGATTTGCTCACATTTCTGAAGAAATGCTGCGACACTCAGGTAATACCGATCGCTTTAACACTGACATCTGCTGCTGTTACTTCTCCCAATGCTAAACGGATCTTGTTCAGGGCTGGCTTAGTCCTGATTTCAGATATAATAAGAGTGCTCCGATTGAACTAGACTAGACAATTTAAACAAGACTCTGCTGAAATCACACTTCACATTGACGAAAACATGTCTACATCTGATTGGGAGCATGTAGATAAAATTACAACCTCTTCAGCCTGCCTCAATGAGATAAATGCAAAGATAACCTGATTTCCAAGTTCAACCTCCT